ACTGCACTATCAGAGGTCCTTGAAGAGAGAACTAGGAGGTAGGATATAAAAGGGGAAAAAAATAATAATTTTGTTTTCCTGAATGGTTCCTCTCCTCCATTGGTAAATAATAGTTGTGTTTCAGTCCGTGGAGAGCTCTAAGTAAAAAGGAACTCTTTCCAAAGAGGATTCTGATTGCGTGTAGTCCCTGCTGTTCTGAGTGGCAACAGTCTAGAGTCTAAAGAAGAGACAACGTGTAAAGTGCATTTAGAAGTTAGTTAAAGCAATGTCCACTCAGAGCTGATGAGGATTTCAATGTTTCATCATAGTCCCCATACTTTATTTTCTAGAGGTACTTGAACCTGTGAATCCTGTGGGTCTTGCAAACACACAGGTTCTCATCCTACTTCTCTATGATTTACATCCCATATTTCTGGTATGTATAGACCAGGAATCTGTAGTTCACAAGCACTTTAGATGATACTTCCGTTCATACAAATTGAGGAAATCTCTTACCTTCTCATCTATAGTCTCTGTATCTTCAGAGAGGATTGGCACAGTCCCGTAGTGATTCTAAAAATGGGCTTCAGCATTGCGCAGGATAGGCCAAGGTTCTATCTGTTGTTCATAGGGTCACTATGAATTGTAGGCGACTTCGTAGTACTAAACAACAATAACCTTTTATAACCCCATTTCCACAAAATCCTAATGTGCAAACTAATCTATATCAATATTGTTGTTTTTGTTGTTGTTGTTGTGTGCCGTAGAGTCACCTGTGACCCATAGCCACCCTATGTACAGCAGCTCTGAACTCTTCTCTATCCTGAACCAGTCTCACTAATTCTGACACATCTACTCCCATCGCCCCAGCTACTGTATCAAGCCATCTCATCCGGGGTCCTCCTCTCCTGCACTATCCCTCCACCCTTTTGAGAATGATGTCCTTCTCCAAGGACTGGTCTCTCCTGTCCATGAGCCCACAGTATGTGAAATGGAGCTTCAAAATCCTAGCCTCCAAGAAGAAACTTGTTTTCATCCAAGACAGATCTATTACTTTCCTTGGTGACATCATTGCTTTTCAGCACTTAGCAAGTAAATCAATAGTTTAATGGAGATAGGAGAGATATGGTGAGTTGGGAAAACATTACCAATGGAGACATTAAGAACTTTTAGGGAACAGTGGATATGTTTATTATATTGATTTTGGTGCTATATTCACAGATCTATCCTTTTTAAACATGTACAACGATATTTCAGGAGACAGCTTTGATGGTGTAAAGCATAGGAAGCTGTGCTGCTAAGCCGAAGACAGTGTCGTGTCTCTCTGCTAGTTTAAGATAATGATAATGTTGATTGTATGTTGATTATAACTGTACCTCTATTTTAAAAAAGAAACGTGTGTGTGTGTGTGTGTGTGTGTGTGTGTGTATCTCAGATACATTTTTTAGCAAAGAAGCCCCCACTCACTAACCTGTTCTACAGGTTTGTTGAAGCCCAGGATGTCTGCACTGCTAGAGGCTCAGACAGCACCTCTCAGAAAAGTTCACTGGAGGTAGGATTCCAGAAGCAAGGTTCACATTCTAGTTGGGGTCATGTGAGGAGGAATGCTCTGAAGCAGCTTCTAAACACAAGACAATTTATAAATGAAACTTGAGAAGCATTTTACAGGTATCATGATTCTAACACATTGATCGTGGTAAGCAATCACTCCGGTCGTCAGTGAGTAATGTTGCATGCTGTCTATTCCGAGTCATAGTGATCCTACAAAACAGAATAAAATGCCTCACAGAATTTCTGAAGCTGCAACCCACCTAGGATTTCCCTAAGAACAGATCACCAGCTCTTTTCCCTCAAAAGTTGCTGGCCAAACCACTTCAAAGCCATGAGCCTAATCTTCATCTTTCAGTGCTTCTTTTTTCTTTCTTATTTTCAGGGCTTCTTAAATGAGCATTGATAGCTGCAGTTGGATCATCAAAGACTAGTAAAGACCTGAGCTGAAGCTTGTTAATGTTGCCTCTGGAATGTGACTTTTTCTTTAGAAGCCATGATTGTTGTTGCTAGTTTCTGCTAAAAGGATTCAGACTCTTAGCAACCAACCCCTAGGGCTTTCAAGGTTGTGACCTTTCAGATAAGATAACAAGGCTTAACTTGCAAGTTACCTCTGGATGGATTCAAACCTCAAAAGTTTTGGTCATGTTGTGGTGCTCAAGTATTTAATAATTTATAGATATAAGTCTGTTATCTGACATGTCATTACCAAATACTTTTTCCCAGTTTTGACTTCCCTTTTTACCCTGTTGGAGAAGTTTTTAGATGTGCATAGGGATTTGATTCTTACAAGGTCCCATTCATCTATTTTATCTTCTCCTCGTTGTAGATTTTTCAAGGTGCTTGGAAGACTGTGTATGTTGTGGATTAGGGCTATTAGAGTTCTTCAGAGCTTTTCTTTAATGAAGTTTATAGTCCTTGGTTTTAGTCTTATGACCATGATCCATCCACCTAGAGTTGGTTTTTGTGTATGGAGTTAGCTGTGGATCTTGCTTGAGTCTTCTGCAGATAGTTTTCCAATCTTGCCAACACCATTTGTTCAAAAGGCTGTCATTTCCTCACTTAACTGTTTTCATCTCCTTGTCAAAAATCAGTTGACCATAGCTGTTGTTGTTGTTGTTGTTATGTGCCGTCGAGTCACTTGCGACTCATAGCATCCCTATGTACAACAGCCCTAAACTCTGCTCTGTCCTGTGCCAATTGCACTGTCTTTGACACTCCCATCCCGATTAACCCAGTCACTGAATCAATCCACCTCATAGAGGGCCTTCCTCTCCTGCGCTGTCCCTCCACCCTCCCAAGCATGACCATGATTAAACAAACAAAAACTCTGAAAAGCACTTGGAAGGAAAGAGAAAATCAAGTTCTACCAAGGTCTATTTAACAGTTGTAGTAATTCCCATGCGTGCTATGTCCACTCAGTTATTGTTGTGTGCCATCGAGTCAGAACTAAGAGGCAGTAAATAACATTACCTATCTTTCTGTGATATCCTTCTGATCTTGGCTGAAAGCAGAGAGTGACAGAGGAATGTCTGTGTTTCATTGACTATGCAAAGGCTTTTAAAAAATTTTTTTAAATTAATTTTAATGAAAGTTTACAGAGACTTAAGGTTTCCAGTCATTCATTGTTGCACTTTTCTTCCTGCCCACGTTTGTCCTAGAGAGGGTGAAACTGGGCTGCTTCTTGGAGGCAAGGATTAAGAAGCTTTGTCTGACATACTTTGGACATGTTACAAGGAGGGACCCGTCCTTGGAGAGGGACATCAAATTTGGGAGAGTGGAGGGACAGTGCAAGAGAGGAAGATCCTCGATGAGATTCAGTAACTGGGGTAATGGGGGTAGGTGTGTCAGAGACAATAAGGTTGACACAGGAGGGTTTAGGGCTGTAGTACATAGGGTCGCTATGAGTCACAGCCGACGGATGGCACATAATAACAACAATATCCTTATGTGGTGCACCTTCTGGGTTTGAATGGAGTGATTTTGAGATTTCAATACAGCTTCTTAACATTAGAACACCAGAACGCATCCATAACTTTAAAATTTAAAAATAGTTTAAACCTAATAGTTTAAATAGTTAAACTGACTATTAAGGTAAGTACTTCTATTGTAAGAAATAAGGAAAGCGCAGAGAAGAACATTTCAAGCACAATTGTTAGAAAAATGGAAGACCACAACTGTCACACAAATATACAGTAAAATGGTGTCACAGATTTACTTTCATTCAAGACGCTACCGCTGGTCCATGGAGAATTCAAAGAACACAAGTAAGTACAATAATCTGAATTTTAAAACTATTACAAAACTCGCCTATATTCACTGGGCAAAAATCAATTACATTCCACTTGGACAGAAGTTTTTGCATTTCTATGGACAAAAATCATTTGCAAATGAACAAAATACGCCTTCTACAACTCACAGTTATAAAATAGTTCAAAAACCATAGATTCTATGTAATAAGAGAGATGTGGTAGATAAAACACTCGGGAAATATCTTCTTGGGTTTTCTTCACTTTCCCTTTTTCTAAATCTGAGCAAGAAAATGAAGACCTCTATTAACTCCCTTACATGCTTTTAACTGCTTTTGATTCAAGTCATATACACTTCAGAATGCATAAGAAAATAAAACAATAGAAAACTTTGATGAAGCAAGCAAACAAGTTTTATGAAACCAATTAAGTAAGTGCAACATTTTGAGACTCGCTCCTTAGCCCTGGGCCGTCCAAGTTATTGAGCTGCAGGCAGGATCAGAGCATCTTGCACCCCAGCCCAGCGCCCACTCCGAGGGAGCAAACCTCAAGGCCACGGTGCAAAACATTCAGGGGCCTCGGAACTTGGCTGTGGGTCGTTCTGGGAGTAGAAGGAGCGGAGTTTACATCCTGGGGGCTGTTGGTTGGACAGCAACGGTGGAAACGCTGAGGGAAGAGTGACTGGGAAGCAGGGAAGGCGGGCAAGCAGGAGACAGGTGCGGCCGAGCGCCCGCACCGCCCCTTTCTGTCCCCGCCCCCGGCCAGCGGGGCGCACGGGGCCGGGGCGGGGCGACCTTTGCTCGGTCCGCCGACTGACCCGGCCTGGGGAGGTCCGCGTACTGGAGGCCGCAGTTCGGACTCCCTGCGCGGGAGGGGCCCCTCCCTCCGGGACGGGTTTGGCCGCCGTGGCCGCCTCCAGGCACCCTCACCTCGGCGCACGGTTTCGGTCTGACCCGCCCGCGAGCTGGTTTCGATTAGAGACCGGGCGGGAGGGCGGAGCGGCGGTGACGTGAGGAGGGAACCAGGGGCGAACCACGGAGTGGAGAGACAGCCACGGCGCGGGAGGCAAAGAGCGGCTGAGAGTGAGCAGGCCGCTGGACCCCGGCCGGCTGGGGCGCGAGAGCTGACTTTCGGGGACCCGGTGCTCCCCGGGTGCGCAGGAGTGCCAGGACCGAGCTCGTGCGGACGCGTCCGCGGCGGGGGCCCGGTGCGCCGTCGGGCGCCATGCGGACCCCGGTGGTCATGACGCTGGGCATGGTGCTCGCGCCCTGCGGGCTGCTGCTCAATCTGATCAGCACATTGGCGCCCGGCTGGCGCCTGGTGAAGGGCTTTCTGGACCAGCCGGTGGACGTGGTGTTGTACCAGGGCCTGTGGGACATATGCCGCGAGCAGAGCAGCCGCGAACGCGAGTGTGGCCAGCAGGACCAGTGGAACTACTTAGCAGCCGAGCCTGTGCTCGTGGCTCGGGGACTCATGGTCACCTCTCTAGCCGTCACAGCCCTGGGACTGCTGCTGGCGACGCTCGGGGTGCGCTGCTGGCAGGAAGAGCCCCACTTCGTGCTGGCCGGCGGCTCCGGCGTGGTGCTGTTCGCCGCGGGGCTCTTCAGCCTCATCCCGGTCTCCTGGTACAACCACTTCTTGCGGGATCGCGACGTGCTGCCCGCCCCGGCCAGCCCGGTGACTGTGGAAGTCAGCTACAGCCTGGTGCTGGGCTACCTGGGCAGCTGTCTGCTGCTGCTGGGCGGCTTCTCACTGGGGCTCAGCTTTGCGCCCTGGTGCGAGGAGCGTTGTCACAGCTGCCGCAAGGCGTCCCCCTCCGACCTGCGCCGAAGCAGCATCAGCACCGTGTACGTCGACTGGCCTGAGCCCGCGCTCACGCCTGCCATCAAGTACTACAGCAATGGTCAGCACCGGCCGCGACCCGCCGAGCAGGGCGTCGCCAGCAAGCCCAAGGTGGGCTTCCCCATGCCAAGGCCTCCGCCCAAGGCCTACACCAACCCGGTGGATGTGCTCGACGGGGAGGCGGCAGAGTCCCGGGGCACCTCCTCACGCAGCACTCGGCCCTGCCACAGCACACTGCCCTGCGACTCAGACCTGTAAAGGGCGCACCCTCCCACCCTGTCTGCCTTCTCAGTGCTCAAGAGTAACACAGAACTCGCCCCCCACAGCCACAACCTGAGCTGCTGCCTTGCCACTGACAAGCATCCTTCTTGGGGACGAAGCCGGACGCCTTCCTGGTTTGGAGAACGAGCTTTCTCTCCTGTATTTGCACTAACCTCCCTGGACTTGGTCTGATTGGGTTTGGTTTACGTTTTATTGAATTTAGTTTTGGTTTTAGAGCGAAAGGAAGCCAGGGCCTTTCTTCTGGCTTGCCTGCCTTCTGTTCTTCCTTCATTCTTTCCTGCCAATAACTATACAAAGAGGGGCATTTGCATTGTGTTGAGAAGGCACGATAGCAAAAAATGAATGGAATCAGCAAATAGTCTCATAAACAAGTTCACATCTTGAAACAATATTATAAGTTATCAGTTTTGCACCGATAGAATTTAAGTATTGCTTATTATTTTTTTCTGCTGTATCTCATTTCCATGCACACTCTCAAGGCCTGTTTATTTCTGGTTATATTTGAATGAGGCTCTTAAAATGAACTTAGAGCCATGCAAATGCTAGCAGCTTTAGTGGATTTTATGGAATGAAATAACCTGGTTAAATCAAGTCTACATTTCTTCCTGCTTGAATAGGATTTCTCTTCCCCCCCACCACTCACTAACTTTTGTTAGGCAAATTCAACTTAAGAGTTTCTCTTCTGGATGCCAGAAGGAGAATGAAGGGACTGTTTACCATGTTCTGTTCCATGAATACCTCACCCTTGACACAGACTGTGCAGATTTAATATTTGGTACAAAATGAGAGTATAAGCAAGCAGTCCAGAAACCTGTGTATCATATACATGTGTATATATCTTCTATTTATAAATAAAATTTTAAAACAATAGTTTTAACATATCCATAAAAGCTTTTTTGTCTTTAGTCCCACCTTTGGGAGTTTTAACATTCATTACTGAGGATTCCTTGGCTGCCCAGGAACTGTTAGTGAAATCTAGAACTACAATCTTTGCACCTCTGAGCGTGAGATTACAAAAAGAGGCCGGTGGGCCCCACTTAAATCCCTGATTACTTTGTTTTCAGGTTCATGCTGTTTTCTGTGCAAAGCCAAGGAAGGCTATTGTTGAAAAACTAGAAGCACCAGTTTCCACTTGGAAATAAAAATCTTTTCCTCGTGTCCAGTGCTGTTTAGAATCACAGGTAGGCAGCTGGTTGCTCCTGAACAGGACTAAATCTCCAGCAGAGCTGACTTGAATGCTCAGTGATTGGATCAAAGATGTCTTTTGTTGTTAGCTGCTATCACTCAAGACTCAAAATGCTGTAATTCATAGGGTTTTCCCTTTCAGAAGTAAATGACCATACCATTCTTTCCAGTCTGGAAGCTCCACTAAAACCTGTTTGGTGTCACAGCAGTACCCAAGTCTTCACTAATAGACAAGTGATGTTTGTGCTTGAGGGACATTGGCTGGAAATTGAACCCAGGCTTCCTGCATGGAAGGTAACAAAATAACCACATCCCTTCCTAACAGAATCTCATCTTTAAAACTGCCCATTGGTAGCCTGCTTAAAGGTAGAACTATTCAGTACAGTAATCATTTGAGACGCAAACTAAATTATTTTTTTTAAGAGTTCAGGATTTTTTCCCTGTCATCATCAGACTCTTCAGATTCTTCTTTCTTTGCTTCTACTTTCTTCTCCTCAGCTGGAGCAGCAGCAGGGGGAAGGGAGCAGGTCCTCTAGCTGGTGCGGCCTGGCCACTGGGGCAGGTCCACCAGCACCCACATTGCAGAGGAGGCTCCCAATGTTGACATCTGCGGGGATCTTTGCAAACAGGCCAGGCCGCAAAGGTTCATCGTTGACACCGGCTGCCTTAATAAGGGCAATAATTTTATCCTCTGTGACTGTCACCTCATCGTCCTGCAAGATGAGGGCCGAGTAGATGCAGGTGAGCTCAGAGATGGAGGCCATGGTGCGGTGCTACTAGGCTGAAGGCTACCGGACGCGATGCTAGTCGCCGGATGAAGTGAGGGCCTCGCCCCAGCACACGACCTTAGCTTCCTCAGAAGGACCGAACACCTTAGCGGTAACTGAGGAAAGGGCGAGACAGCAAACTAAATTATATGAGTGTTAGTAGCAGGATTGATTGTATAGATTGATCCCATACTCCTTGCCATTTTTTACCAAAATAATGTGTATCTTTTTTGAGACAAATCTTGATGTGTAGGCATGTTGTTTGAGGATACTCTTCAAATACAGATTCTGAGGATATAGGCCTGGAATGGGATTTAAACTGATCCTTTTACAGTCCACATATGTGCTGGCAACTCTAGGACCACATTTAGAGGTTAGAGTGTTTAGCCAACCTAAAGGCACATGGACTGAATCCACCAGAGGAGAACGATGGGCAGCCTCCTCCGGTGCAATTTACTACCTTTGAAAATCAACTAGAGGATCAGCTGAGTAGATTCCTAGTCGACAGTACACAACAACAATGTGCAAAGGTAGCATTGGTGTGAAGGGAGCTGCACTATTAACCCAAAGGCAGTTCCAATCCACCAGTGATGAACCGACCCTCCTGAGATTTGTAGTCTTAGAAACCTAATACAGAGTCAGCTAAGAGGTGGTTCTGACACTTGACAGCAATGAGTGAGCATGAATGATGCCTACCCCAAATTCAATCTCAGCTAAGGCCTCATAACCAGAGCCTGGGAAGCCGGTTGACTAAATAACTTAGGGGGGTTGGTGTAGAGTGCAAGATACAGTGAGGGTGGAGATAAGACAGGATATCTTACCCCCCTCCTCCACTTAAGCTTACACCTCAAAAGGGCCTGAGAAGTGAGCACACACCTACTTGACAAAATAAGGATACTAATACTGGGTTTCTGGCAAGTAATGAATCTTGTGTTTTCTGTAATTCCAAATATTTCTAGGGGAGGCCTTGTAAAAAAATAGACAAAACTGGAAACTGGCATTTGGTATCATTTCACTTTCCCCCCTCATCTCCAATTATTTTCCTCTAGTTTATTTTGAAAACATTTCCTCTCAAATAAAAAAAAAAATCTTGTTGCGGATGGCTAAAATTCTATTTTAGGAGAAAACCTCCTCTAAAAATAAATAAACTCATATTTGCTTTGAAAACATTCAGGATAGAAGAAAGAGACCCCTCCATCAGGCTGAAATCCATTTCTGGCCAGAAAAGCCTCAGGAGTGGCTGCTATCAGTCCTTAGAGAGAGACGCCATGCTTGGGAGGGTGGAGGGACAGCTCAGGAGAGGAAGACTGTCGTTGAGGTGCTTTGATTCAGTGATTGGGGGAATGGGGATAGGTGTGTCGGAGACAGTGAGATTGGCACAGGACAGAGCAGGCTTTAAGGCTGTTGTACATAAGGTCCCTATGAGTCGCAGGCAACTCAACGGGACATAACAACAACAACATTATTAGTACCAGCCAAACAACAACACCACAATGTAACACTATGTGAAATTGCACCATGGCCTTGCACCACACCCTTCACACCCATAATACGCCATTACAGCTCACTGTGGATCCTCCCAATAACTGTGTAGAAGAGCATGTGTCCTCATTTAGTGGGTGAGGCTTTTTCATAATTACTCAAGTTACGCTTGGAGAACCAAGGACTCTGTGAAAGAACAGAAACAGCAAGAGCACAGCTCCACTTCAACTCCTTTCCGATGATCTGGCTCTGACTTAGACACATCCTATCTAAGGAGGAGAGAGATTCTGGCACGTGTTGCGGGAGTGCTTTACCAACTACCTTCAATGTTACTGCATAGCTTACTCACTCGGTCAGCTTTTGTGTTTAGTGTATTGTGTGTTGGACTGCTGCTATCTGAAAAGTCAACTTGAACTTACCAGCTGTCCCATGAGAGAAAGATGAGGCTGTCTCTTCCCCTAAAGATTTACAGGCAACGTAAGGTGAAGGGGAGATTTGTCATGGGTTAGAACCCACTCAATAGCCATGATTTTAGTTTGGGTTTAATTTTGCCCCTAAAAAGGAGGGAGAGTGTCCTTGGGTAGCACAAATGGCTTGCAATTGGTAGTGTGTTTACAGATTGGCTGTTTGAGGGAGAGACACTCAATGAGAGACATTGACGGTGTCTGTAACGGTGGGCTCCAGTGTGGCAGAGGTGATGAGGATGGCACAGGGTTCAGCTCTGATGTTCAGAGGGTCACTATGAGTCATACTTGACTCAGTGGCACCTAACAACAAGCGTGTCCCAGTGGAGAAAGGCCGATTGATCAATTTATCTAAAGGCGACAGCTAAGACAGTCCAGTTGTGGTTCTGTCTGTAGCACAGGGTGTCAGAATTGGCTTGTTAGCAGCAGTTTTGGAGGTTTTGTTGTTAATTTTTCCAACACAATTGTGGACAGTGTGGAAAACAGAAAGACTGCCTTTGTGGAACTTACTAGCATGAGAGAGAATGTACAAGTGAATGAAGAAAAAGAAAGCAGTCCCAGGAATTGAAAAAAGATAAATCATATTTTAGGAAAGGTAGGCAGCATGGTGATACTTGCACATGGAACAGAAAAGGAGAGGGACACATCCCAGGCAGAGGAAACAAGTCCCAAGTTCCTTCTAAGGAAATATGAACATCAAGTGATATTTGGCAGTCTCAAGAGCAGAATGTTTTGCTCTGACTTCATCTTAGAATGAGGTAGTACGGACAGGAAGAAGCAGATGCTATTAGTGAACAAAGCTGGCTAAATCCTCTCCTATACCTGTTTATTGAACTAATAGCTCCTTGAATGCAAGTTTAGAACAAACTGAATCTGTTATTGCTAAGGGTTTTTTTTGTGTTTGTTTGTTTGTTTTTATAAAAAGTAAGGATAGATTTATTAGAAAATATCATCCCAGAGGAAGAGACAGATGTTCCTCCTTGAGAGGAAATATGGAGGCGGCCTGTTATTGATGTTTTAAGAGACTCAAGCATAAGCAATTTGGGGAAAAAAAAAACCCCAAAGCAAAAAACCGAGC